CGTGGACGGCATCATTTCGGCGTTCACACTGACTGCAACATTATACAAGAGATTGTTTCGCGACGGCTGGCCTGCCGAATACACTTGTCTTAGCCCAAGCATTAACTACGAGAGGACACGGAACAGCTGAGCTTCTGTCTTCCTCTTTTCTAGCCCTTACACCTTTGTACATGCGGAGCATCGTGTGCTACATTATCATGAAATTTAAGCTTCGACTGCTACAACATGTGCAAGTTCAGACTTTTTTCCAGCATATCATCGTGCACAAGTTGTTCAAGCTAGACGTCATGTAAACGTGTTTTTCGTGCCCACCGGGATATGCTTTCTCAACTTCCGACGTCGAAGGGTTACGCATGACTATGCCCGAGACTCACAGTAGAGTGTATAGACATGGGGCGATGGTAATAGCTTATCGGCTAGCATGCTGACAGAATGTGTGAAGACAACACTCGATCTTCTAGTCGCACAGAGAATTATTGTTTTGATTCCTGGACACATAACGTTTTTTTTATTATTATTATTTTTATTCCAAGCAATACATGGCTGGGGTAGCCAATGACCACTTTGCGTGGCGATTGCAGGGTTTGTATAGCCGAGTACGGCTAACGCTAACAATAACTTGAACAGTACACCTGCGACCTGGTGGTATAACTCCGAATAGTGGACAGGAACACCAGACACACTGTGACACTGTGACACAGTTCCAACCATAATATAGCATGGGGAGATGGTGATGATTATTGTGTTGACAGTCAACAATCTCTGTCAACAATCTCTTTCATACTTGGTACACAGCTCGCAAGTGATGAGTGAAGCTGTTGCTGCATGATTTAGAGATGTTCGTCAGCATGTCCTCGCTAACATTCGCGGGGAACAAAACTGAACTCTTAGTGTCATGCGGCGAGGTTTGAGCCACAGCTTTAAACCAGATCTTTACCCTTCTCCTACATTTTACCTCCCTGAGAGACCATGGTGCTCCGAATCAGAAGATATAAAAGCTAGCGGCAGTGATGTGTGACCTGAAGAACTCTCCCATTTACTTCCCCTATAAGATGCAAAAATGATGTTGTTGCACGCTCAGGAAGATGAGTTTCGTTGAAAGTGCAGCTCCTGTATGTGGCTATGTCAATCTTGTAGTGCTCGCCTATCCTTCCTTGTCTTTATCACTGATCAATGTGTTGGGCCATGGGGCCATGGGGCTGTCGGCAAGAGTACGTAGGCTGGAGGTTGGTCAACACCGCAAGACGCCAACTGTTCCCGCACCAGCATTATAACCGGCAAGCGGAGAATCGTCCTGATAGAAGGCTAGATTCGCTAGAGCGAGTAGATTAGCAAGCATGCCATAGAAAGCGAGTGAGTAGCATGTAGTTCTCCCTGTCGTTGTCCCTGTTGTGTTCCCCAGATTTCACGGATAGAACGTAGACGTCTGTGTTCGAGCTGCAATGTGTAACCTTCTCATCGTTGTTAGTGTACCAGTTGATCTTGCCTGAACATCTGACAGTGTGGCAAGAAGGACGCCGTAGTTGGGGGTCTCAGGAGAATGTCCTCCATGATCTTCAGAGGCGTGTCGAGTCAGGTCAGATGCGCTGGTGATGTGATACAACACACACTAGAGCCACGTTCTGTGATAACTGTATTATTTTTTCTTGCTCTATTGGATGCTTTACATCCCTACGGAGAATGGAACGCAACGATAGCAACAAAACATCGGAGACACGTTGGGTGTGTATGCATGTGCTACATAAGCTATGCGGATGAGGTTCTGCACGTTCCTTCGGCCAAGTGTCTCTGCACCATGGCGGTGTATTCGCACACCTAAACCGTTGGTCGTCTTCACACAGCCACCTCTGTATGGTATGGTTGTGAGTGGTGATCACACTGAGGAAGTTGCTATGACTCGTGCGTGGGTAGCGCATCACATGCGACCCGTTTCGGAAGGTTTTGCTCGACGTTCGACGCCAGACTCGAGGACGTCGAATGCCCAGGAACGCACAGATAATGAGCACCTTCCCTTCACCATCATCGTACGAGTCCAACATAGTGTCTGAGCACTCTTAGACTGTATCACCTAATCCTAGCCTTGGGTTAAACTACCTTCATGGACACTGCGCCAGCAGCAGTGGCGCTTGTTTGTCTCAGTGTTTGCGTCCTCCAGCTGCGTTGACACTTGCCCTTCGGCCACTGTCGACCTTAGGCTGTACAACCTATGAATGCGAGTATCTGTATAATACATGTGTCGGTGTGTCTATGTGTATGTGTATGTGTAGATGTCTTTGTGCGTGTACGTGTGTGAGAGTGTGGGTGCACATGCATGTGCAGAGGACTCGTTATGCAGTATCCTCAAGAACTGCTTATGATATCCGTTGTTCAATGGTTTCAGAGAAAGATGCCTGAAGAAGAAAATTGACAGTGACCACTAGGACTCGAACAAAGGACCTTCGCTTGAGGCCAGCGGCACCACTGAGCTATGATAATAATTATACGTTGTAGCTGGATTCCTGCAGGTCTACCTGTGGTATATTCGTTGTACTGGCGTCAGCTATATCTCTGTCACTGATTGTTCCCCAAACTGAGCTTCCGCGTTGGAATTATGCTGCCCCAAGGCAACGGTTCCGTATACTGCCTGAGGGCCATGGTCCCGAATTTTAATGCATGGTTTCCAGGTACATTGTACATGTGTACTGGAAATGCGAGTGAGAGAGTGTATTAGTAAAGACGTCAGTCTCGCACCTCAACTTCAAATGGAGTGTTTAAAGTATCGTGTTTCTGCTCATATTCGCCAGGTAAACGGCGTGCAGACTTGTCATTACTAGAGAGGTTAAGATGCACGTTATTTCTGACGTGACGCGAAAGTTCAGCTCGCGTTATTTGGATCGCACGTCGAAAAATCAACGCGAGTGACCTGCTGCTCACGTCGAAATTTGGAGTTTTACGCCAAATTTGACGTGAAATTGCGCGTCACGTCGGAAATAACGTGCACCTTAACCTCTCTACTGACAGTACTGTCTGTATGATGGTGCTCGGAATGCCTACCACTCACTCCCATGCAATGTGTACTAGTATCACAGATATGTAGCTACTGAGTACTGCATAATACAGGCACAGGTGCTGATATACTGTACATATCATGTGACTGTGTTACTTCTGTAGAATATACG